GGTTAGGTTAGGTAGGGTTGGTTAGGTTCGGTCATATATCTACGTTAATTTTAACTCCAATAAAAAAAAATTGACCTCATACATAGTGAAAAGGGTAGCTTTATCATTTCATAAGAAAAAAATTATAGTAAATATATTAATTCAGGAAAACTTGGCTTATTAGGCAAATCAGGCCTTGAATAGTAGGCTGAGAAGTGAGTTCTGGCTACTAGGTACGACATATATATATATATATATATATATATATATATATATATATATATATATATATTTATATTTTTAACCTAAAAGGGGGTACCACCTCTGGTGCAAGTGTAGGGACCCATAGCCTAGGAGAAGAACAAAGAGTACCCAGAGAAGACCTTGTGGATCCTCACTGAACACTTATATTTTCTTGAGGCACACTTTTATAAATAAATAAATAAATATAAATAAATATGTTTATTCAGGTAAGGTACATACATACAAGTGATGTTACATTAATGGATTGATATATAGATAGAGCTAGTACATACAATGCCTAAAGCCACTATTACGCAATGCGTTTCGGGCAAGAAAAACATTAATATCTAGAACTTAATACTAATTGAGCATAAAGAATAAAAAGTGTTGAAAACAAATACAAATAAAGATAAAAAAAAGGGGGAACATGACTGAAAAAGCAGCACAAATACAATAGGATGACAAACAGTGTTGATTAAAAAAAATAATAATAATAAAATAACAGACATGGGTTGACAATAAAGGAGTGAGGTGGGTTACAGGGAATTTATTAGGTAGTGTTTAGTTTTTATCTTAAACTGGTTGAGAGAGGTACAGTCTTTAACATGGTTGGGAAGGTCATTCCACATTCTGGGTCCCTTGATTTGTAGAGCATTTCTAGTTTGATTAAGTCGTACTCTAGGAATATCAAAACTGTATTTATTCCTGGTGTGGTGCTCATGGGTTCTGTTACAACCTTCAATGAAGCTTTTGAGGTCAGGATTGGCATTACAGTTCAGCGTTTTATATATGTATAATACACAAGAGAGAATGTGCAGTGACTTAATATCTAACATACTCAGAGATTTGAGTAAGGGTACCGTGCTTGTAAGGGTTATATGTGCTTGAGGCACAACCTCAAGCCCAAGTGAAACCCAGGAGCCCGACCAGTTGTTTAACCGGAGCCCGACCAGTTATGTAACCGGACCCCGACCAGTTGTGTAACCGGACCCCGACCAGTTGTGTAACCGGAGCCCGACCAGTTATGTAACCTGACCCTGACCAGTTGTGTAACCGGACCCTGACCAGTTGTGTAACCGGACCCTGACCAGTTGTGTAACCGGACCACGATCAGTTGTGTAACCAGAACCCAACCAGTTGTGTAACTAAACCCCGATCAGTTGTGAAACCAGACCCCGACCAGTTGTGTAGCCGCAAGCCTAGCATGAATGAATCAAACAACTTCCGAAGCACAAACATACAAGAACCGAAGCCCACCTATGTACAATCCAAAGCCCGACCAGTTTTGTAACCGGAGCCCGACCAGTTGTGTAACCGAAGCTCGACCAGTTGTGTAACCAGACCCTAACCAGTTGTGCAACCGTAAGCCTAGCAAGTATACATCTCATCCAACTCCCTCCAAGCTAAACAGTCCCAGAGCACAACCAAACTCCATTCCTAGCTCGACCAAACAAAAATCTTCTTAGAGCTACCTAAAACCCTCCACTTGCCCTAGAAACCAACTATGGAGCCATATCAAACAATTGAACTATATAAAAAAAAAAGAAATTCGAATTTCTAGCAAACATATAAACATAGAGCCTTCGCAAACAAACCTGGAGCACTAGTAGACAAACAACCACTGGAGCACAACCATGTACGAACCGGAGCACAACCATGCACAACCCAAAGCCGAACAAGTCACACCCCTGGTGTTATGTAATCTGAACCCGACAAGTTGTGAAACAAGAGCCCGACCAGTTGTCTAACCGCAAGCCTAGCATGAACGAACCATACAAACAACCTCTGGATTACAACCATGCACGAACGGAAGCCCGACTATGCACAACCCAAGGCCCAAATGACACCCCCGGAGCCCGACTAGTTATTTAACCGGAGCCCGACCAGTTATTTAACCGGAGCCCGACCAGCTATTTAACCGGAGCCCGACCAATTGTGTAACCGGAGCCCCACCAGTTGTGTAACCGGACCCCGACCAGTTGTGTAACCCAGACCAGTTGTGTAACCGTACCCCGACTAGTTGTCTAACCTTAAGCCTAGCAAGTATACATCTCATCCAACCCCCAGAAAGCTAAACAGTCCCAGAGCACAACCAATCTCCATTCCTAGCTCGACCAAACAATTGAACTATAAACAAAAAAAGAAACCCAGATTTCTAGCAAACATATAAACAGAGCCTTCGCCAGCAAACCTGCAGCACTAGTAGACAAACAACCACTGGAGCACAACCATGTACGAACCGGAGCACAACCATGCACAACCCAAAGCCCAACAAGTCACACCCCTGTTGTTATGTAATCTGAACCCGACAAGTTGTGAAACAGGAGCCCGACCAGTTGTCTAACCGCAAGCCTAGCATTAACGAACCATACAAACAACCTCTGGATTACAACCATGCACGAACGGAAGCCCGACTATGCACAACCCAAGGCCCAAATGACACCCCCGGAACCCGATCAGTTATTTAACCGGAGCCCGACCAGTTATTTAACCAGAGCCCGACCAGTTATTTAATCGGAGCCCGACCAGGTGTTTAACCGGAGCCCCACCAGTTGTGTAACCAGACCCCGACCAGTTGTGTAACCACAAGCCTAGCATGAACGAACCAAACAACCTCTGGATCACAACCATGCATGAACTGAAGCCCAACTATGCACAACCCAAGTGACACCTCCGGAGCCCGACCAGTTGTATAACCGAAGCTTGACCAGTTGTGTACCTGGAGCCTGACCAGTTGTGTAACCGGACCCCGACCAGTTTAGTTTAGTTCATTTATTATTCACCCCATACCCATCTTGTGGGCGGTAGTGGAAAGGGTTACAGAGGCACCTAATTGGCTCAGGGACTGAACCCCACAAATCATTTGCCAGTTGTGTAACCGCACGTCTAGGTCTACTTAGACTGTAGCTGGTGCGCCCCCACATGAATTATTGCATCCAGGCATGGAGACCTCATCTTCAGAAAGACATAGCTGCTCTGGAGCCATGTCTTACCAGAGCTATGGAACTGTCTTACGACAAAAATCATACCAGAGCTTAGTCATCTGTTGTATCAGGAACGGTTGAGGGCCAGAGGGCTAACAACACCACAAACCAGGCATGACAGGGCAAACTTCATAGAAACCTTTAAAATACTAAATTTGGAGAATGTCGATCAGGACAATGTCTTCAAAAGGTCAGATGTTACACGAACAAGGAGCAACGGGTTCACACTTAACAAGCCAGAATGCTTTTTCACCTACAGGGTTGTAAACCAGTGGAATCGCCTACCCGCCGAAGCAGTAAACGCCAAACCTCTGCTGGGTTTTAAAATAAAGCTGGAAAAGATCATCAGGAAAAATGGGGGGACCTTTGACAAGCCGCGGGCTTACTGCCCTCATCGAGGCCACTAGTGTTAGTGGCCCTCAGGTAAATTCAGTTCCCGGAGGGATGTCGACCCCGCTCCTTCCTGTTGGGAAGTTGTTCATCTATTGCAGTATCATACTATCATGCAAGAGGAGCCACACATCTATGGTTCATCCAAAATTATCAACAGACTTCTAAATGTTACTATACTGCTCGGCTTAGACTCGGTTACAAGTATCTCTGGAAATTCTCATTATCTGCTGATGTAGACCTGACCAAATGTAAACTGTGTATCAAGATTGTAACTTGCTTAGCTTAATGAATTGTGGGGTTCAGTCCCTGAGCCCATTATGTGCCTCTGTAACCCTTTCCACTACAGATCTCAAGATAACCACCCACAAGATGGGTATGGCCGGTGCATAATATATGAACTAAACTAAACTATTGCAGTATTTGTACATTGGCCTGTCGCTTGTCACTAAACTTAGTTGTTAACTATTACCTTGATGAAATAATATTACCTTATACGCGAGAATAATTCTGAATACACAGCGATAAAATTGACGAATGCGGCTTTGGGTCAGGCGGCCACGTAGGGGAGCCTGGCCTGAGGACAGGCAACTGTAAATGCTTCACCCTACACATACTTCAAGTGAAAATAATTGCCAACAGAACCTAAATACCGAACCTACTATACGCCTAATTAATTATAGAATATAAAATTAATTTATACACGATAAAAACTATTTTTTATACACAGTACATAAAAGTCGATACTAAATGGTCTCTAGGTCTCCGTGGTGTAGTGGTAAGACACTCACCTGGCGTTCCGCGAGCGCTTTGTCATGGGTTCGTATCCTGGCCGGGGAGGATTTACTGGGCGCAAATCCTTAACTGTAGCCTCTGTTTAACGCAACAGTAAAATGTGTACTTGGTTGTAACAACGATTCTTCGCAACGGGGATCGTGTTCCAGGGACCTGCCCGAAACGCTACGCGTACTAGTGGCTGTACAAGAATGTAACAACTCTTGTATATATCTAAAAAAAAAAAAAAAAAAAATACGTCTTTGGATGTAGGGGGAGACGACCGCCGCGTTAACGAGCCTAGCCTGACGACAGGGTAGTTTAACAATGGGGAAGTGTATTCTACATAATATCCTTCCCATGTAACGTTGGCAAATCATGATCCTCAAAATCTTCCACAATATCCGAGAGAGGACAGACTATTTAGCATTAGTGGAATACAAACATTTGAATACTGCAGAACTCGGATGAAAAAAAAATACGGAAACAATGACCATTACAAAACTCAATGTTATAATAGCGAGCAAATGTATAATGCATTAAGCATTGTAGGTGGAGGTAGACTATACATTCATGCGTACCTCCCAACTGCTCAGGTATATTTGGAAAAAAAAAACTTATCAGCCTTACCTACACGGGAGCGACACACCTCACTCCGCCGCTGCTTCTTGAAGACTGACCGGGTCGCAGTCGATGACCCGTAGCATCCAACCGACCCAGAGACTCCCTGCCTAAAATTATTTGAACGCCATATTGAAATTCCTAGCGTATAGCGCCAGGAATGTGTAAATTAATATTTATATGCATTATAGGCCTTTCTAAAGTAATTTATAGATCTGAATATCATATATTGTCTAACAAACCAATTATTTAAGATAAGATTTTAATTATGCCTGATACACGTCTCATCGCACACAAGAAGATTCGTCGTCGTATTTTTTTTTATTTTTTTTATTTATATATAAAAAAGAGTTTTTAAATTCTTGTAAAGCCAATAGCACGCATAGCGTTTCGGGTAGGTCCTTAATCCTATTTTTTCCCCGGAATACGACCCGCCAAATCGTTTAACAACCTATTCACTGCTGGGTGAACAGTTTAGGATTGGCGCCCGGTCAATACTTCCCGGCCAGGATACGAACCCAGGTCAAAGGGCTGGCGAAGAGCCGGGCGCGTGCTTTACCACTGCGCCAGAGACCGCTCCGTGGCGTAGTGGAATTATGAATTTTGAAACCTGACTAACATAGCTCAACCCAACCTAACGTAACCCAAATCAAACCAATCTAATTCAGCCGAGCCCAATGCAGCCTAACCTTAATAACATAGCCTAATACAGCCTAGCATAACAAAACATCCGGATTTAAACAGAAAATGAGTTTAGCCGAATCGTCTCGTGTCCGAGTGTAACAAGAACCCGACCAGTTGTGTACCTACAGACCTAGCAACAAACACCTGCAGACGAGGAGTCTCAATAACGTGGCTGAAATATGTTGACCAAACCACACACTAGAAAGTGAAGGGACGACGACGTTTCGGTCCGTTCTGGACCATTCTCAAGTAGATTGTGAGAATGCACAATTGACTTGAGAATGGTCCAGGACGGACCGAAACGTCGTCGTCCCTTCACTTTCTAGTGTGTGGTTTGGTCAACAAATACCTCACCTAACCAGTCAAACACCCCCCTCCCCCTCCCACTTACTTTACCTAGCACACTGAGAGCCGTACCAAAGTAGGGAGGGTCCACAGACGAGAACATGGTTGTAAGTATAGGTTCACAGACATGGGCCCCAGTGCCCATCATCTGGGTTGGAGGGCAACAGTGCATTGCTTTGCTCAGAGAGTATAATGCTGCTAACACAGCCCTGCCTTCAATAAGCAAACTTTTCAGGATTATTTAATTAGCTAAGTTTTACCTGAATTTACCAGTCACTATCTCTCAGTGAGGATAGGAAGCCGGTGGCTTGTCAAATGTCCCCTATTTGCCCTGGTGATTTTATCGAACAATGTTTTGGCATTTACGGCTTCGGCGGGTATGCATTTCCACAACGTTATAATTCTATGGGTGAAAACAAATATTTTCCATCCTTCAGTGTGGCTTGTTGAGCTCGAAACCGTTGCTCCTTGTTCGTCTTACATCTAGCCTTTTGAAGAAATGTTCTGGGTCAATATCTTCCAAATTATTCAGTAATTTAAATGTTTTGCCGAGAGCAGCCCTGTCATGTCTGGTCCCTGTGGCCCTCAACCGTTCCCGGTATGAAAGTCGACTTAGTTCGGGAAAGATTTTAGTCGCCCGGTGTTGAACTTTCTCCAAAGCAGATATGTCTTTCTGAAGATGAGGTCTCAATGCGTGGATATAATGATCCAAGTGGAAGCACACCAGAGATTTATACAGTCGTATAACTACCTTTTCCTTCGTCAAAGTTTCGTTTGACTATTCCAAAGGATTTGGTTTGCTTTTATAACTGCAACTTCCACGTGTTGTACAACTATCAGGGATTGGTGGATTCTGACTCCAAGATAATGTTGATGATTTGGTAGTTGTGCATAAGTCCCACATGGGTGAAAAAAATCTCCTGTTTTCTGTCCTAAGTTGTGGCTTGTTGAACTTGAAATCGTTGTTCCTTATTTGTGATTGATTGATGAAGATTAAGCTACCCAAGAGGTGGCACGGGCATGAATAGCCCGTAAGTGGAAGATTTTTTTGGAGTGAATGTGATCTTTGGTCGTAAAAGGATATACTGCGTGCTGTGCTCGCATTTAAATTGTCAGTCTGTGGCTGCTATCGCGGGGTGTTTGTTTGTGTTGCATCTGACCATAAACAATAATCATTGAGTTGCTTAACATTAATAGCCCAACTTGCTTTTAAATTAGCCCAAAAAGTAGCAAGTAGCGAAATTAAAAATTTGGGAGCGCGGGGCTCTCAAAAGTAGCCCAATTCGCTACTTGTAGCCCAATCTGGCAACTCTGCTCGGGGCCTGGCAGCCACGCCTGTGCGGGCCCTCACCCGTATGACCATTCTTGGATAACTTTGTAAGTTTATGTTTTACCTGAGGACAACTAATACTTTAGTGACCTCGACGAGGACAGGAAGCAGGCGGCTTGTCAAAGATTCCCCCCCCCACTTGTCATGATTTTTTTCCAGATGGATTTTAAAATTAACAAAGTTTTGGCATTTTTAGCTTCGGCTTTTTCTCTCCTGTGGGTGAAAAAGCATCTCTTTTTTTAATCCTACATTGTGGCTTGTTTAGCTTGGCTCTTGCAAATTAGCATGTTTGTACTTATCCTGCGAGAGGACTATCAGGAGAAAATGCCAAGCCATTACGACTATATAGCACTTGGAAGAGGTCAGGATAAGGACTAGGAATGGGAATGGGGAAAGGAATGGTGCCCAACCACTTGGACGGTCGGGGATTGAACACCGACCTGCATGAAGCGAGACCGTCGCTCTACCGTCCAGCCCAATGGGTTGGACAACCCATATACTCATCAAGTGAGTGGTAATTATTGTGCCCCCATACTCATTGTGAGTGGTAATTTACTGTGCACCCTATACTCATCCTGTGAGTGGAAGTTTGTTGTGTACCCCCATACTCATCCTGTGTTCGGTAGTTTGTTGTGCACCCCATACTCATCCAATGAGTGATAATTATTGTGCACCCCATACTCATCCAATGAGTGTTAATTACTGTGCACTTCATACTTACCCTGTGAGCGGTAGTTTAAGAACGTAACTGAGACTCCTCGGCAATGGGACTTCTCGGTCACAGACTGTGCCAGGATGACAACAGAGATAAAGGGAATTATTTTAAACTCACTTTTTAATGGACTTCGTCCCCTTCCACTATCGTGATCATTCAGCCTCTCCTTATCTTTAGTTGTGTGTGTGTGTTCAATCAGGTTCCGCAGTTCAATTAATTCCACTTAATAGATTACAAAATGTAATTGACTAATATTATTGAGTTATTTTGATAGAAGTTCAATATATACCTGAATTTTCCTGAGGGACGCCATCTGTCTAGTGGCCTCGACAGGGACAGCTAGACGTCGGCTGTCCCCGTCGAGGACAAATGTCCCCTCCGTTTTTAATTGTAATTTTTTTCCAGATGGATTTCGAACTGCAGTAATACCTTGGCCAGTTGAGAGGCGGGACCAAAGAGCCGAAGCTCAACCCCCGCAAGCACACCAAGGTGAGTACTTACCTACATCTGCAAACACTGAGAGGAATGAGTCTATACCCTTAGGAAGATTGTTTACATATTTCAGAAACAGGATGGGTCCAAGTCTTATCACTAACGATACACTGATTAGTATGATTAACGTGATACATACAGCTCTTGATAAAAATGAGTTCCCTGTTGGGTTATTTGTTGACTTACGTAAGGCTATTGACACTGTCAACCACAACAACCTTCTTCTTAAATTATATATGGAGTCAGAGGTCACTCCCTCCAATACCTCCAGTCTTACCTTACTGACAAGCTCCAGTATGTTTATGTGAATAATTCCATTTCCCTACCCTTCAACATTGGTGTTCCACAGGGCAGCATATTTTGCCCTCTCCTCTTTCTCATCTTCATTAATGACCTTTCAAATGCCTCTCAACAACTCAACCCAATTTTATTTGTTGATGACACAACCTTCATATTCTTCAGTCCTAATCCTCTCACTCTGAATGATAATGTGAATACTGAGCTAAATAAAGTCCATCGTTAGCTAACTGCTAACAAACTCACCTTAACATTGACAAAACCTTCTATATTTTGTTTGGTAATAAATGCTCAGATCAAATTAATCTAAGAATAAACAATATCCAAATTAGTAACAAAACAGATGTAAATTTCTTGGTGATCTTATCGATAACAAGCTGAATTTCCAGGGACACATTCAAAATATAGCAAAAAAAAAGTTTCTAAAACTGTTGGCATTCTTTCTAAGATCAGATATTATGTACCTTCCCCTGCCCTGGTAATTAACGCTCTATTACTCACTCATCTATCCTTATCTCAACTATGGTATTTGTGCTTGGGGTTCTATTACCCAAAATCATCTACTTCCTCTAATTACTCAACACAAATCTGTTATAAGAACAGTATCAAACTCTGGCCCCAGACAGCACTCGGCACCCGTAAATCTCTGTATATATTTTGTATATTAAGTCACTGCACATCCTCTCATGTGTACTCTATATATTTATAACTCTGAACTGCAATGCCAATCCTGACCTTAAACGTTTCCTAGAAGGTTGTAACAACCCATGGGCACCACATCAGAAACAATATCTATTTTATATTCCAAGAGTGCGCCTTAACCAAACTAGAAATGCTCTGCAAATCAAGGGACCCATAATGTGGAATGACCTTCCCAAACATGCCAAAGGCTGTACCTCTCTCAACCAGTTCAAGAGAAAAAGTAAGTACTACCTAATAAACTCCATGTAACCAACCTTACCCCCTAAGTGTCAACCCATGTCTTACTATTTTCAAACAATACTGATTGTTGACCAAGTTGTATAACTACTGATTTCCACCATGTCCCTCCCCCCTTTTTCCCTTTTTCAACTCAATTTATGCTTTGATATCAATTAGTATTAAATTTTAGTCTAAGTGTTTTTTCCCCCCACACCTTGCCCGAAACGCTGTGCGTATTAGTGACTTTAGGCATAGTATGTACTAGCTCTATCTAGAAATCCAACATCATGTTTATAACTCATGTTGTATGTATGTACTTTTACCTG